GTGTGGTAATTGCCCTGAGAGAGACCCAACAAATGCTTGTGATGTTTTTCAGTCGTAATGATACATTTTACAAACAGCGTTATGCTGTAATTTTACAGTTCACTCCATTCTTTCATTTTGTGTGTTCTTTAGGTGGATGTGAGTGGAGCCTATGAGAGTTTGCCTCATGACAAACTTATTGAAGTGGTGGAACAGGCTCTGAAACCCGTCCAGAATGAGTTCTTTATCGTCCGTTGCTATGCCAAGATCTGGGCTGACTCCCACGAGGGCTTGAAAAAGTCCTTTGTTAGACAAGTCCGTCTCTCTCTCACACACACACACACACACACACACACACACTCACTCTCTAACTCACTCTCTAACTCACTCACTCACTCTCATGGAAAAAAACAGTTCTGAGAAGTGAAGTGCCTTTAACCTGCATTCCCTCTAGTGACCACCAGGGGGCGACTCCTCTGCACTATAGACCTCTATTGCTCCACTGCTCGCGTGTGTGTTGATTTGATGAGCGTCTTTTTTTAAAATGCAGGCTGATTTCCTGAAGGATAGCGTAGGATCCATCAACATGAAGGGGTTTGTGATGACACAGCAGAAAAAAGGAAAAGTTCACCATGCCGTGCTCGTGGAGCAGGTGAGAGGTGACGTCCCCAAATGCGCTTTGTAGACGGGCAAGTTGGCCAATTTATTTGCTTCTGTCTCTCAGTATTTCAGCCCGGATCTTCATGGCAGAGATGCGTTGCAGTTCTTCACCCAAATGCTAACCGGCAGCGTTGTTCAGTTTGGCAAGAAGTAAGTGCATCCATCAATAAACAGCCCGATAGCATTTGTTCATGCGCCGCAAAGAACATGTTCACGCTTATTTCTCCCTCTGTCTTATTTACAACCTGACTGTACCTCCGTGTATCAGAACGTACCGTCAGAGCCGAGGGATTCCTCAGGGATCGGTCGTGTCCAGCCTGCTCTGCTGCCTCTGCTACGGTCACATGGAGAACGTCCTGTTCAAAGACATTGTGGAAAAGAGAGGGTACAGCAGCCACTCTCACAGATGTAGTAACACATCTGCAGCCGCAGAGGGCAGTCTCCTTGGTTTTTAGCTGTCTTTGTGTTCACCGGTTTGTGTTCTTTTCCACCCTCCCTGCCTTGTAGATGTTTGATGAGACTGATGGATGACTTCCTTCTGATCACGCCCAACTTGCACAACGCACAAACCTTTCTCAGGTGTGACACACACACACACACATTCCCGCTGACAAGGACTCTCTGTTCATCTTATTCTGCTCTTTTATATCCACTGATCCACTTCCTGGGAGCTTTTTCTCCACATTTGGAGTCCAGTGTAGTCCAGGGAAACTGAGGGAAGGGAAATCAATCCCAGAGATGATGCACAAATGTGTTTAGTTCCCAGAAGATAATACTTGTATGAGCTCATTCACACATGGCTGAAGTTCTAGTTTGTTTGTTATTATGAAGTATTGATCCCCCGTCAGAGTACAAATCCTGTAGCTAATACACCGACTCGCTCTTCAAATCAACCAAACATCCCTTCGATGGAAAAAACGCCAATGGCCCTTTCTCGCTGGGTGTAGCGTCCTGCTGGCCGGGGTGCCCGAGTACGGCCTGGTGGTCAACCCGCAGAAGGTGGCGGTCAACTTCCCGGTGACGGGAGACGCGGTTTCATGTCCGGGCATCCGCGTGCTGCCCCCCCACTGCCTGTTCCCCTGGTGTGGACTGCTGCTGGACACGCGGTCCCTGGACGTCTCCAAGGACTATTCCAGGTGACGCGTCAGAAGTCCTCCTGCAGGGTGGTCCTTGGAGGTTGAGCCACTGCAGTGTTTCTCGGGCTTCTTTACCAGCTTCATGTTTCCGTCTCCCACAGCTACGCGGGCCTGTCTCTGCGCTACAGCCTCACTTTGGGCTCGTGCCACTCAGCCGGCCAGCAGATGAGGAGGAAGCTGATGGCCGTCCTCAGACTCAAGTGTCACGCCTTGTTCCTGGACCTGAAGGTCCTTTTATTTATTTAAAAAACAACCAGCCTTTAATTAGAGAGCCTGTAAAGTAACAGGAGCTCCATAATTGGAGCCGAAAAACATCTACAGTCAACAATACTTGTTTCAATGAAGTAATAATTAACCGCCGAAATATGTTGACTTTCACAAAAACTAAATATTTTTTATGACTTACAAAAAACGCAGCGGACTGATGACGTGTGTTACTAGTTAATATCGCCAATGTTATGTATCACGTACAAATGTTAAAGAGTTCGCGTCAAGTTTACCTCTCGCGGCGCGTCGCAAACGCCTCTCGGTTTCAGTCGCATCCCTTCATTTCTCCACGTTCGCTTTCCCGCTTTTCTTTTTCAGACCAATTCTCTTGAGGCTGTCTACAAAAACATCTACAAGCTGGTGCTGCTGCACGCGTGCAGGTACAGAACTTCTAAATGCTAGAATACAACAGTAAGAGATTTGACCCCACTTTACAAAGCAAATGGCTGCTTGTGTGTCGATCAGCGTCTTATTGCACCTTCTTCTAGCTCAGACTAGATACTTGAGGCTCTCTTGACTCCGTCTTCTTCTGCTTTAGGTTCCATGTGTGTGCCCAGAGTTTACCTTACGGTCAGACGGTTGCCAAGAACCCCGTCTACTTCCTGCAGATGATATTGGATATGGCCGAATACGGCAATCAGCTCATCAGGCTCAGCAACAAAGGCAGCGTTTCCCCGTTTCACACATCCGGACATCCTCGACGACGCTAAAGATCAAGTTCTAACGGTTGTCTTTTGTGGGTTTTGTCCTCAGGAATGATTCTCGGCAGTAAGACCCAGAGGGGCGTTGTGCAGTACGAAGCGGTGGAGCTGCTTTTCTGCTTCTCCTTCCTGCTGGTGCTGTCCCCGCACCGTCCTCTCTACGAGGCTCTGCTCCCACACCTGCACAGACGTACGTGGCCCCCCGGGAGCCGACGCAGCGGCTCTACCGCCTCTCCCGGCAGCGCAGGATGTGCCGTACAAAAGGAGCCTGTAGTGACAGATTTTCTTGAGCCACTCGGCAGCGTGCGGGAGGAAACCCTGTTCCTCACTCGCAGTCTTTTATTTAATTATAGATTATATAAAACACAACTCTATCTATATTCCGTCCCCCGTCGCCCATGCATCATTACCCCCACTAATTGCACCTGTGCCCCCATATGTGGACTGTCACACGGCCACACGGCCAACCTGAGAGTGGCACACAAACATCCTGAATGGCTCCTACAAAGCCCATTTCACACAGGCCGCTTGAACGCAATGTTCTCCACAACACGCACACAACAGTGAATCGTGCCTCCAACAGTGATTTATAAAAGGGATTCATCTTTTTTAAATGGATTTGTTGTAGTTTAGTCTTTAAAATGAGAATATCAATCAGAGGTTCCCAAAGAACCCTAAGATTCAAATCTATAATAACTTAAGAAGACTAATCCTCACGTTTGTGTTAAAATCACTCTGGGTTAAAGTTCCTTCATAATGCAGTGAAATAAGAAAGAAAGGAAATGCATTAAGTTCCTGGAGGCTGGGAGGATTTATTAATGAGTCACACTTTTCTTCAGTCTTTAGTCTGCGCTGAAAGTGGGTAAAGCGAAAGACTAACAACTCATCCAGGTTTTTGAGCGCTTTGTTAACCAAAGCCATCGTCAATGCCTCACTGTTGCAATAAAAACAGAACCACAGTTGCTCTTTACCGGCTAATCATGAACACAGCGGCACTAAAGGTGTTTGCTTAGAGCCGTGGAATGACCCCACTGCACGACCTCACAGCCACTCGGTCACACTGACAAAACGCCCCATGAATGAACCGTGTGAGAACGTCATTAAACGTCTCCTCAGAGGTCGTCCCTTTGAATGGGAGATGGACGAAAGGTGAACCAACAAGACCAGGGGTCTCAAACTCGCGGCCCGCGGGCCAATTGCGGCCCTCGGGACGATATTTTGTGGCCCCATCCTTAATATGAAAGTGTAATGTTAGTGCGGCCCGCAAGTTTTATACTGTAACCCCACTGTCAGCTGCTGTGTGGGACATGTTATGATGTTCTGGTTTCCTACTGTGTGCTTGTCCAGTGAACGTGGCATGCATGTGACTGACATGGGGGGCGGGTCGTGTGTGTCGGCCGAGGTGCAGAGAGCAGGAGGGTGAAATTCAGTTTCCTGCCCTCTTTCGCGCAGGTGATCATGTGACTAACCGTTAGCATCGCTCGTTTAATAAAGTTTTCCTTTACGACTCACACTAACAACACATGAAGCATCCGACGTCACCGACGAGCGTCTCCGTCCATCACTACGCAGCTTCGATTCACGTAACTTCACGTTTGGCTATAAAGGAATTCCACGGTCACATGACCTTAGGTCTCCCCCGCTGAGTTAAAGGAGGACTAGTGTTGTAGTCTCATTGGGACCGATCCCCCAGGGTGGGGTTCAATGACTCCTTTTGAAAGTGAGTGTTAAGTTGTGTTATTGTCGACCATGCCGTTCGGACGCTAGTCTGGCCCGCGTTCGGTTGAAGTGGCCTGCATCTGGCCCGCAGCTGATTTGAGTTTGAGACCCCTGAACAAGACCATCTTCTTCCATCCACATCCACACCTTCTTTAATTCAGCTTTACAGGTGCTGGCGTCACTTAGTTTAGTTTAGTTTTCCCCGGCTGACAATCAAAGCATCTCTCTGCCGTCGTCTTCCACAGGGAAGCGCAGTCTGGAGCGACGTCTGGGGGACGTGCGGCTGGCCCGAGTCCGGCAGGCCACCAACCCCAGGACCCCCGGGGACTTCTTTGCCATCCAGAAGTAGACCAGCAGCCAGCGCCAAACGCCGCGCCCAACGGGACGTTCAAAAGTATACGTCGGCATTCACATATTGTCATTGTGTTTTACAGTTAATCAAAATTAGAACTAGAATTTCCTGTCTCATCCTCAGATTGGACATCCGTGATTCGGAGGTGTCTGATCTTCAGTGTGCCCGGAAAGAGGATTCTGTGACGAGTGTTGAGGAAGAACTTTTAGAGAAAGACAAATGTGCATCGGTCATAAAAATGAAGTGATAAGATCTCCGTCATAAACGATACACACATGGAATGGAAAGCCACTGTGTTGGACCTGGCCTGGTCCCATAGCTGTTTGTATCTCTGGACTTTGACTCACACTGTGGTAGTTTTTTGTATGTAAATTCAGGTGACAGCAGGAAGCTTCAGATGAGAACACGCTGCCGTCATTTGTATCATGTAGAGTTCACAACAATGTATGAAGGAAAGTTCAATAAATCCACAGTTGTCCGTTCCAGCTCATTCCTGATGACTGTAAACATGCACCACTGGTTATACGATCAGGATCGTCCTCTTTGTTCAGTGACGGGACTCGACTTGGGGAGCCCTCGGGTTCTGCTGGTCGCGCGGCTCAATCTCGAAGCCCTCATTGCTGGAGGGATTCAGGTCGGCGCGAGCGGAGGACCTCTTGATCAGGTGGTACAGCGCCACCAGAGGGATGGGAATCACCGGCACCGCGGAGAGGAGGATGATGATGGCGAACACCCAGTCTGGATAAGGCTTCACCTCCGTTTTGGGGAATAGTTCCTGAAGGAGAAGATAAAGAACATTGTTCGCCGATGTTTTTTCGTGAAGTGCCATCTCCGTCTCAGAAGCCTGGACCTCCTTACGTAGGCCGGGTTCCACGTGCCATAGGAGGGGCGCTCTTGTATCCGGGTGACGACGTAGGCGATCAACACCACCAGAAGCATCAGAGGACTGATCACCCTCCAGCACACCTTCCAGAACAGGTTGGGCTTCTTCCCCGTCATGAAGTAGATGTCTTCACTGAAGCTGTCAGGGGAGAAGATGTTTCATCAGCTTGGGACCTCCATGTTGTAGGAATCTCATACAGAGAAGGAGGAGAGGTTACTTTTTCATGCCGTAGACGTAAATGACTGCAATAATCTCAAAGAATGCAACGATGAGCAGAGGGACGGAGCCCACGTAGCTGTTAAAGATCTCCACCCAGTAGTTGCCCGAAGCCATGGTGAAGATGAGAGCCATCGAGAAGGCCATCAAGCAGGTGACCGCTGGGGCAGCAAGGAGAAGAAAAAAAAAAAAAATTATTTTTTTCCCAGAGGAGGCAGCAGGAAGATGTGTACCTCTCCAGACCCCCCACACACATCGCTTCAAGCCCACCTGTTACGAGTGCGTTAGGGATCCACACAGGCAGCAGCTGGAGGTCTCTGATGGGCGTGAGGACGCCCTCTAGGTTACCAAACATGGAGGAGAGACCCAGGCTGAAGAGCATGGTGAAGAACAGTATGGCCCATATCTGCGCGCCCGGCATCTCCACCACCGCTTCGCTGAACACGATGAAAGCCAAGCCGGTGCCGGATGCGCTCTGAGGGAGAAGACGAGCAAAGGGATGAGGAAGCACCGACACACTTTCACGCACGTTCCCGCACGTAAGAGTAGGAAAGACATTTGGAAACATGCATGCTCATCAAATGCTCATCGATAGCGGAACCTTCGCTGCAATACCTGGTCCAGAAATGTCTGTAGCTCACAGGGCCTCAGGTCCAGACTAGCCACCTCACTTGGAGATGTACGGTTCAGGTACTCCAACCAGTGGTCGTAGCTCTCTGCTGTCATGTTCTGGTCCGAAAACTCAAAGTGGTTGGTCAGAGCCAAGATGTTTCTGCAAGGCAAACGTGCCTCTTAGTATCAGCAAGAAAAAGCGATGCGTTTCTGAATAACCCAGAATGTGTGTGCATACGCACTCCTTCATGCAGGAGTTGTAGGCGGAGTTGGCTTTAAATCCCAGGATGGCGAAGATGGGAATGGCGCCGTAGAGGGACGTGGCACTGTTTATCACTCCTACCAGCACGGCATCCAGCTCACAGTTGTTTCTAAAGGACACGGAACAGAAGCAGGAGTCACACACAAATCATCCCGATAAGGCCCACAGTCGCAGTCAATACCTCTCTTTGTTGTAGCTGGAGAAAGCTATGAGACCTCCAAAGGCTACAGACAGCGAGAAGAAGATCTGGGTGGCGGCGTCCAGCCACACCTGAGGGTTCTTCAGCACCTCCCACTACGGGTAAACACAGCACATCGGGTCACCCGGGTCCTACGATCTCACCACCGGCCGCGGAACCCCCGTGGACGAACTCACGTCCGGGGTGAAGAGGTAGACCAGTCCGGCGGTGGCTCCGGGCAGAGTGAGGGCGCGTACCAGGAAGATGGTCAGCACCAGGTAAGGGAAGATGGCCGTCACATACACCACCTGTTGCAGACAAACGCACGCTTTACAGCCTCTGCTGGGGTGCGCGCGGCGCCGTGTTGGGTGTGGAAGCCACGGACGGACCTTCCCGATGGACTCGATGCCCTTGATGAAGCAGACGTAGACCACGCACCAGGCGCTGGCCAGACACACCACCAGCCACCACTGCAGAGAGCCGCTGGTGCCGATGTCGGTTGAGATGTTCAGGGTCTCGCGGTACCAGAAGTAGTTTGCCGGAGTGCTCTTCACACACTCTGCGTTGTAGCCTACATGAACGCACGCGCAAGCAGCTGGATCTTAGAGGTGCTAAATACCAAACCCAGAGCGTCGATGAGGCAGTAAACATCTGTTAGTGGTATCTTTATATGTTGGGCCTTAAAACAATAAAAAAAAAACACATCCAGTAGTTTTCCGTTGATATCTGAATTTAAATGTGCAGAGATTAGTCAGCAGCTAGAGCGACCGGTACGTGTGTTACCTGTGAGGTTGTCGCTGGGAGGACACTGGCTCCACGGCAGCGGGTTTTGGAAAGAGTGAAAGAGGTACCAGAGCACCCAGGCAAGGAGAGTGTTGTAGAAGATGCACACCAGCAACGACACTAACATGGAGGCGATCCCTGCACACGGGGAATACGGACGATGAACAACGCTTACGATAAGTTCTCAAACGACAAAATGATGTCACCAATGGTTGAAGGCCTCCCACCGACTCCACCCAGCAAGGGGGAGATGGAGTTCCAGACCCCGATGCTGCCCATGCGGAGCCGCTGTCCTATGGCCATCTCCAGGTAGAGCAGGGGGAGGCCCTCGAACACCAGGGCGATCAGGTAGGGGATGAGGAAAGCACCTAGAGACCCCACAGTTAGTCAACAACGCTGTGAACAACGTCAGTAAACAAAGGATTCCCCTAAATGAAGACATGCTGAGGGAGAAACCAGGCTCTGCTTAGTATTTCTGCCACGTTTTTTTTTTTCTCAGTTAAGCGGAAGATTGTGTTTGGAAGAGATTTCACAGGGAAATCTGAGGCGTAGAAGACGGTGATGAGATTCATCATTATGACAATGATTGGCCAAGTCCAATTCATATTCGATGATTACACCGTGGCAGAAAGAAAACCCGTAGTGTTTGTCTTTCAGTTCAGTTTCTCATTAGCAGACAATATAAAGTGTATAAGTGTTGGAAATCCAGTTTAAAAGAACAGCGAGGTAAACTCAATGGATCTGGTGCATCATGTCAGCCTCTCACCTCCTCCGTAGATCTGGCACAGGTAAGGAAAACGCCACACGTTGCCGATTCCCACTGCAAAGCCGATACACGTCAGCAGGTACTGGACCTTGTTGTCCCACTCGGGTCGCCCCTCCATCCCAGGATCGTTCGCTTTGCCCATCGTCAGCCGGCAATGAGCAGTCCGGCCCGCGGCTCGCTGCCTGCAGAGGTGCTGTCCCTCCGCTCGGTTAATCAGTGGCAGCTTTCGGTTACGCTTACAGACTTTATTGGGTTTTTTTTAGGAGGGATTCAGGTCACCGGAGTCTCTTGTAAAAACATAAGGCATGAGGATTTAATGGTTAAGCGTTCCGTGTTTGTTCAGAACTTTCAGCGTACTCAGAATGAGATTAATGGATAACCTGGTGATGGCGTTTTAATAAAGCAATGATCTGAAGCGTTCCGACTGGTCGAAGTCAATGAAGAAACACACAATTGAACAGGTTGTTGTGCTGCTGTGCAGCTTTTACTAATACTCCTTATCTGCAGCTAAGAAAATCAGTAATAAAACCATAATGTCCATATGTTTCTGTGATAGCGAGCTCGCGTTCAATTTGTTCCCCCGTGACTTAATAAATACCTGATGTGTTACACTGGTTCATTGTGTTTTATCTGATCTGTACATTGATTAACATTGAACATTAGCCGGTTTAAGACTTTGACGTTTCTTGAGTATCACAACAATAAATGAAGTTGTGCCAATAATGACTCCAAGTATATTAATAAGTCAGTATACAATATAATATAACAAATAAGCAAATATTAGGTGTCCCTGTAGGGCCCGTCGGCCAAATCCAGCCCGGTGACTTGAATATTGTGAGAATGACGCTCCTCACAAATGCTTCTGCTTCTTTCATATCGAGTATGATTATACAACGTGGAACACAATCAAAAGCATTATGCACGTCACCAAGGAAACCAGCTTCTGCTCTTAAAAATGAAAACATAATGGTTTGATGACGTTAAGATAAAAAAACAAGACAACTCTTCATGTTTAATGCTGTATATGAACTGAACACTGAACAATTAACTCAAACATGTTTCCAGCTTCAAACCGTCTCTGACAAAGTAAACTGGACATTTCTCACAAGCACATTGCAAAGATTTGGGGAATCATTTATTTACTGGGTTAAGATTCTGTGCACTGTAATCACCGATGGAACTTCACTAAACTTCACACTACACAGATGCACAAGGCTATAAAAGCCAAGGACATTTACTTCATGCACTAAAAGTGCAAATCTATAATTAACATGGTATAAAATACTTCACAGCATTCACTATACAAGGAACATCTGTCTACATTGCACTTAAAATAACCCGGGTAGCTACGTTCAGGCCACTTCAACGCTTCTGGTAAAAAAGTGGACCTGCTCAAAAAAAGCACACACACGACGTTCTCCCGTAACTTCACTATATAATGTTTGCTGGCTTGTATCATCATCATGGGTCAGATGGCCCATTCGTTTAACCTCTCACAAAGGCTGTGTGTGTGTGTGTGTGTGTGTGTGTGTGTGTGTGTGTGTGTGTGTGTGTGTGTGTGTGTGTGTGTGTGTGTGTGTGTGCAGACAGGAGAAAGGGATTAGAGGAGATGAATATCTCTTTGACATTTGTTATGACTGATCTGTAGACCACTCGGACCCGGCGTTTGCCGGGTAACAGCGGGGGCCGTGCACGGCCGGGCCCTGGTGTGTGTCTGTCCCCATCTTCTCCATGACTCATTCAGACAGGGCAGAGAAATGAAAGAGAGAGAGAGAGAGAGCGAAAAACCGTCACTGTCAGTGCTGACACTGTGTCTGATGATGAATCCCCCCACTGTTTGAACCCAGCGAGAGGCTGCGCACCGATCTCACTACTAGTGTGCGTCTGCCTTCAAATACATGTAACTTTGTAGTGTCACACTGCGAGTTGAACTGAAGATTAAAAAAAAAAAGAGCCTGTTTAGTCTAGACAGAAAAAAAGTATCTGTCTGTCTTTTACGCCAGTATTTGAGAGAGGGCACGTGAGAGAGAGAGAGAGCGGGAGAGGGGGGCGCCCATGCTTTGTGCAATACGTCCACAATAGGCTCTTTGGAGATGCTTCCCCGCCTGTGAACTGCCGCATTCACACTCTGCCGACCTCGCCTCCCCTCCCTAGAATTATAATCTTATATCCTCCTTTTCTCAAGCGGCCCTCCCTCCTGCTCCCCCGGTGGCGCACCCCGTAGCTAAAAAAAACCCCATGTAATCCTCCTTCCCTCTCGCCCACTTTTTTTCACGCCCCCCCCCCCGCCCCGGAAGAAACGGAGAAAGAGAGGGATTGGGGTTTTCTTTTTATTACTTGAGGGGGTCCAAAAAAATGCCGCGGCGGACTCCCCC